TTGGTTCAGTGTATTTTAATTGAAAGTTTAATTGAAGGTAGGGAAGGTGTGTGTTGCACAGCCTGCAGTAGTATGTGGAGCTATTAGACATTGTGCCAGTCTGGATGACCCTGTCTGCAGAAGTACCCTTGGTTTGACTGGCTTGAGGGCTGGGTTTCAGAGCTTAACGTCAGCTGGAGGCACAGCAGTGCATCCATGAGGCAGAGAGCTTTAGAAATATCCCATTTCCAGTGGTGGTCACCCCACAGCATAGGGAAGTATAGTCTGAGAGGGAATGGATGACAATCAGTCAAAAGAAGGGAGGCAGACAGGTAGCTACAAAAGCCCAAGAGTGCACCTCACTGAAGAATAGTTTTTATTGTGTTGGGAAACGATGAGAGTGATGGTCCTTGTGAGGAGTGCAGCCACAGCCCAGCTGCACAATGAGGGAGGAGAAAGAGAGGAAGAGATAAAATGGTTGAAGACTTGATCGTGAGGAGTACTGATTAACATTTCTGTGGCTGCAGGCGTGACCTAAGAATGGTGTGTTGCCTCCTTGAACCAAGGTGAAGATGTCACTGAATGGCTGCACGGAAATCTGAAGGGGGGAGGATAAACAGATAGAGGTTGTGGATTTGTAGAATTTGAATTCAATAAATATCTGGAATTAAGAATCATTAGAATTTGACACGGGCTGACTTTTAACATGATAAGACAAGATCTGGCAAAAGTGGAGTGGGAGCAGCTACTCTTGGGAAAATCTACATTAGATCAGTGGGGATCTTTCAAAATCAGAAAGTGAGAATGCAGGGCAATATGTTCCTGTATGGGTGAAATGCAGGACCAACACAGCCACAGAAACTGGATGTCAAGGAATGTTTAGGTTTGGAAAAGGAAAAAAAAAACGCAAAGCTTCTGGTAGATACTGAGGACTCAAAACCACAGACATCAAGCGGCACATAGAAAGTACAGGAGGTTGCTTGAAAAGAAATTGGGAAAGCAAAATGGGGGCATGAAACAACACTGGCAGGTAAAATAAAGAAAAATCCAAAGGGATTTTACTTGTATTTTATGGGCAAGAGTATAACCCAGCAAAGAGTAGGGCCATTAGAGACCAAAATGGCAAACTATATGTATGAAGCTAGAAGATGCAGATGAGGTTTTAACTGAATATTTTTGCATCTGTATTTGTTGTGGAGAAGAATGATGTAGGTATAGAAGTCAGGGAAGAGAACTATGATATTCCTGAACATATTACAGTTGAGAGGAAGGAGGTATTCAAGATTTTTAGTGGACTTAAAATTGGATATAGCCCTAGATGCAAATAAGATGTACCCCAGGCTGCGTGGGAGGCAAGGGAAGAGATTGCAGGGGCTCTGTAATTAATATTTAAATCCTCTCTGGCCATAGAAGAAGTGCCAGAGGACTGGAGGATGGCTAATGTGGAACCCATTATTCAAAAAGGCTAATAAGGATAAACCAGGAACTCAGCCAATGCCTCTAAAAACAGAAGTAAGGAAGCCTTTGAAAAAAATTCTTCGGGACAGAATTATTCACCACTTGGAGAGGCTGGAATTAATCAAGGATAGTCAACATGGCTTGGTCAGGGAGAGATCATATCTGATAGGTGTAACTGAATTTTTTGAGGAGAATACTATATGTGTAGATGAGGATAGTCAGGTTGATGTAGCCTACATGGCTTTTGATAAGGTGTCACATGAGATACTGGCTGAGAAGTTAAGAGCCATGAGATCCAGGTCAATTTGGGAAATTGAATAAAAAAGTTACTTTCTACTAGTAAGCCAATGTTCGAAGGTTTGTTGTGTGCCGGAAAGACTATGTCCAGTGGCATACTGCAGGGCTCAGTGATGGCTCCTTTCCTGTTTGTTGTCTACATTCATGATTTAGACATGAATGCAGGGGGTTTGATCAGAATGTTTGCAGATGACACGAAAGTTGGTGATGTGGTACACAGTGAGGGGGAAAGCCTTAAACTACAGGACAATACAGACACGCAGGTTAGATGATCAGAACAGTGGAAAATGGAATTTAATCCAGAGAAGTGTGAGGTGATGCATTTTGGAAGGACTAGCAAGACAACACGTGTTGAATGGTGGGACCTAGGAAGTACAATGGATCAGAGGGACTTTGATGTGCATAGATCCTTGAAGGCAGAATGACAAGTGTATAAGTCATTAAAATGGCATGGGAACATAGGAATTAGGAGTGGGAATGTGCAATTTAGCCCCTTGAGCCTGCTCCGCCATTTAACATGATCATCGCTCATCTTATCCTGGTCTCAACTCCCCTTCCCTGCCTGCTATCCATAGCCCTTTATCCCACATTTCATTAGAAACATATGGAAACATATTTATTTCTTTCTTGAATCTGTTGATTGATTCTGCTTCTACTGCACTCTGGGACAGCGAGTTCCACAGATTCACAACCCTCCGAGAAGTAGTTTCTCCTCAGTTCAGTTTTCCATCTCCTCTCACTCGATATCTGTGACCTCTTGTTCGAGACTGTCCCACAATGGAGAACATCTATTCAACATTCACCTTATCAATTCCATTTAGTATTCTATATACCTCAATCAGATCCCCCTTCATTCCTCTGAACTCCTGTAAATATAAGACCAAGCTATTCATTTGCTCCTCATACAATAGCTGTTTCATTCCCAGAATCAATCTGATGAACCTCCTCTGAACTGCCTCCAGTGCCACCACTCCTTCCTCAAATAAGGAGACCAAAACTGGACACAATACTCCAGGTGTGGTCTCACCAGCACCTTATATAATTGTAACAACACTTCTTTACTCTTACAATCCAGACCTTTTGCAATAAATGCTAGGATTCTATTTGCCTTTCTTATTATATGATGCACCTGCATATCCACTTTCTGCAATACATGCACAAAGACATCCAGATCCCTCTGCACTGATGCACTTTGAATCTGCTTCCCATTTTCCTCTGAGATCTAACCTTCTGGATCAGTCTTTTATGTGGCACCTTGTCAAATGCCTTCTGGAAGTCTAAATATACCACATCCATCAGTTTTCCATTATCCACCTTGCTGGTTACATCCTCAAAGAACTCCAGCAAGTTTGTCAAGCACAACATGCCCTTCACGAAACCATGCGGACACTGGTGAATTCAGCTTTATTTTTCAAATGTTCAATTGTCTCCTCCTTTGAGATATAGGATACTTGCCCTTATTACTCAGGATATTGAGTACAAGAGCAGGGAGTCGATGATGCAGCTATGTAAGATGTTAGTAATGTCACAGCTGGAGTATCATGTGTAGTCGTGATCACCATGCTACAGGTAGAATATGATTGCTCTAGAGAACAGTTCAAAGGACATTTGACAAGACATTACCGAAACTGCAGTGTTAAAGCTGTGAAGAGATAGGCTTGCTTTTCTTAGAGCAGGGTAGTCTGAGGGGTCCCTCATTGAAGTATAAAAAATATTGAGGGGCGTAGATGCAGGAGATAGGAAGAAACTTTTCCCCTTTGTACAGGAGTAAATTTCCAACAGTTATATATTTAAGGTAATGGGCAGGAGGTTTTAAGGAGGAATCTTTTCACCCAGAGGGTCATAGGTAACTGTAACTCACTACTTGAAAGAGTGGTAGGGGCAGGAACCATCACAACATTCCAGAAGGATTTAGATGAATACTTGAAATTCCACAGCAAACAACATTATGGGCCAAGTGCTAGAAATGGAACTAGAAAAGATAGATTTTTGAAGTCTGGCATGTACACGATGAACTAAAATGTCTCTTTCCATGCTGTAAAATTCTGCGAGCTCTTCAGTCCCAGCAGTACCCCCAAGAGTGGTGGGTATTGCTGGGACTAGACTCATTCCCTTGGAGCTGCCAGTTGAAGAAGGACAGACTGGTATAAAAATTCCAGCAGCGGCAGGATCAAGCCATAAGTAGCCATCAGTTGGCCATTTATACTGCTGCTGGTAAAATGCCAGTCGAGAAGAAAGGCAATGAGTATATGGGCAATGGCAGGCACCAGCATACCACGCACCCCCAATATATCTTCCTATGAAATTTTATGAATACCACCTTTCCCCACTCCCCAACTCCACCCCACGGTCATAGACTTCTAGCCTAGGTTACTCATTCAAAATCTGTGAACAGTGAGAATAACACTTATTTGTCCAAATTAAACCAGCATCATTACAAGCTTAACATTCAATCCACACTGCACAGACCCCTGAAGTAGCACCTGTTTTATAATTGATAAGAATATTCCACAACCATTAACATTATTCTCAGTCTTTTCTGAATATTATCATGCAAACACCTTTGTATAAATTTCTTCTCTCCACTGTCTTAGTAACACGTTTAATAAGTAGGTTAATGTCTCCGATGAGATTATGGAGAAAAAAGTTTGATTCATCCTGAAGTAAAGGTTTACTTTGGAGTTGGGTAGTCTATTAGTTCGTGAAAATATGATTGCTTGTTTTCACAATTTTATTTTAGCTGGTTGCGAACTGAATGTTAGTACAAAGAGTCAGTATACGTTTCACTTCAGTGTTATTTACGTACTAGCAAAATATAAGCAGATTAAGGGGAAAGCGACAGCCTCATGACATTATCGCTGGACTGTTAATCCAGAGACCCTGATAATGTTCTGGGGACCCAGGTTCAAATCCTGCCACAGCAGATGGTAAAAATTGAATTCAAAAAATAAAATCTGGAATTAAGAGTGTAACGATTACCGTGAATCTATTACCAATTGTGGGGGAAAGTCCCATTTGGTTCACTGATGTCCCTTCCTTCAGGGAAGGAGCTTACCTGGTCTGGCCCACATGTAAGTCTAGACCCACATCAATGTGGCTGACTCTTAGCAATTAGGGATGGGCAATAAATGTTGGCCTAGGTTACTCATCCCGTGAATGAAGAAGAAAAAAGGGGCGATCAGAACAAAGGAAGGGCTGGCATCACTCCACTCACTGCATGGCCTTGTGTCCATGGATGTCTCTGATAGGTGTACTTTGGTCCACAGGAAGGTGAAACTGACAGTGGGATGGTGCTGCCCCCTGATGAACTGAAGGCCCTGAAGCGTCAAGAAACCAGATCCCGCCCTTTTGGACTAATTACATTAGCGTGAGTACATAAAGTTCCTCAAAGTGAATTGCATGGAACTTTCAGAATGCATCAAGACCTTCCCTATATCAATAACTAAGGTTGTTGGTTTGTATTCGTGTTGTATTTGGGAGTTTCAGAGTATGTTCTCCTCAAGACAACAGCAGTAAATTATATTTAGATAAGTTCAAAATTCTCTAAAAGTAAAATTAAATTGTTGTTAAGTCACTGTTTCATTGCATATTTATACACTGAAATTCTAAATAGTAGTCAATTTCTCACTTCCTCCTTAATCTCCTACCTTATCTCTTTCCTGAACAGCCAAGTTCCAAACAATATGCCAGAAAATCCATTATGCACATAGTTTTGAAGTTTCCAACCATTTAAATCAGAGTCAGATTGTCATTCCACTCCTCCATTTTTTAATTTATCTTACCCCAGAGCCCTGTGTTTCAGGCCTGAATTTCTGATTCAAGCCTCTCAAGTAACATGGGGTGTAGCAGGTGTGGGAATCTACCAGAGATAACAAGAACTGCTGATGCTGGAATCAGAGATAACACAGTGTGGAGCTGGAGAACACAACAGGCCAGGCAGCATCAGAGGAGCAGGGAAGTTTCCAGCTCCTCTGATGCTGCCAGGCCTGCTGTGGTCCTTCAGCTCCACACTGTTATCTGGGAATCTACCAGCACAGGTTGGAATCAGTGCTGGAGGTCAGTGCACATCCCCACTTTTACACTGTGACTGTAATAACTGCTGTATTTTATGGTTCTAAAGCCTTTTTGACAACTTTGAGGAAGTAAGTGCATAAAGAAAGTATGTGAGGAGGTGGATTGACAGGGGGGTGAATGAGGGGGGTACAGTGGCAAGTGTGTGGTTGAACTGGCAGGATGGCAGGTGGTTGAGCGAGTTCGAGGATCGCAGGTGGTTGGATGAGAGCTAAATAGCTGAAGTGAGAGGATGGCAGATGGGTGGTTAAGGTGGTATATGGGTCGGTGAAGGTTACAGGTGGTAAATAAGTAGGTGAGAGAGTAAGGTGGGTCAGGTATCATAGTTTCTGGTCACTGAGTATGATGGGGTGTTGGGAATGGTCAGGCGTTGGAAATGGTCAAGGATATGAGGACATCAGGTGATGGGTTAGTCTGGTACTGGGGAGGTTGGCCTTTTATGTGTGGGGGAGGGATCAGGTATCTTGAGGGTCAGAGTGAGTGGTTGTGGTCTGAGTCATACCATAACATAATATCAGAAAATACTGGAAAACTCAGCAAGTTAGGTACCAAATGTGCAACTTTTCAGAAACTTGAACGTTGATTCTCTCACTCTTCACACAGATGCTGCCCAACCTGCTGAACTTTGGCAGCATATTCTGTCTTTCAGATTTCCAGCATCCACAGTATTCTGCTTTTCATTCATTACACACATATCTGATTGGCACTCTTTCAGCTGATGAGACTATTCTCTCAGCTTCCATCAGTACATCAATGCATCAAATGTATTGATTGGCTGTGGATGTCACATCTGTCTAGAGGCCAAAGCAGAGTGCTGAATTTTCCAAATCCCCTAATGGTCTTGTATCATAAGGCCTACTGGTTCCTGTACTAAACAAAAAAAAACACAGAGAACTGCAGATGCTGGAGATCAGAAACAAAAACATGAATTACTGGGAAAACTCAGCATGTCTGGCAGAATCTGTGGAGAGAAAGCAGAGTTAACATTTTAGGTCCAATGACCCTTCTTCAGAACAGAACCTCCTTCATCTGAAGAAGTGAATTTTAACTCTGGCCGAGAGAAGAAAGTCTCAATGGCTTTACAGCCAGGTAAAGGCAGTGGGTAAAGAAGCTGATATTCAGTACAAGCTTTTTATTAATGTCTGCCAAGTCCCATAAGATCGACATATGCCTCCCCTTCCCTCAAGATGCTTCAAAAACTCTCTCCTTATGACTTAGGTGCTGGCAAGCTACCTCTTTACCTGATTCTGCTGCTCATTACAAAAACTAGCAATTGGCTTATTACTGATCCTTTTAAATTCTTGTGTAGATATGTGATACTCAGGCACAATGGCTTTATTGTACAATTTAATGACTCATACTGTATTTTACAAATAAACCGTTGCCATGGATATTAGAACTGAACTGTAATCTTGCTTTTTGATTAGTTGCTGTTTTTAATTGATCTTACCTAGGTCAGGGGTGTAAAGCTTTTGTTGCTCTTGAGTTAACAGCCATGGATTGTGCTGGTGTTATGCAGCTTCTTCAGTTGTGCATCTGACTGAAATTTACCTCAGTGTGTGTTTTTATCTAAAATAATTTTTTGTGTTTATGTTGTTTTAAATTTGTTTTTCAAAAATTACTGTGAACAATCGTGCACAGCTCTTTTTTAAACACTTTTCCTGAATAATCTGTAAGAATTATTCCATGATAACAGAACACTGAGTATCCCATTGCTTAAACAAATGAAACATGACTAAATTTTCAGTGAGCTTGTCAGAAACAAAGTACCCATAGATTGAAAGCTGCACTGAATTGCATTCATCCCCCATGCCCCAGCAGTGCCCATTTATTCATTTTGAACATCATTATATATACTACTACTGGAATTTAATGTCCCAATCTCCCGATCAAACAATTTGGAAGGCTTACAATCAGGTGGGAACATAAGAGGTGGAAAGCCTGCTGCCTTCCTGACTCTTTCCCAATTAAGAGATAGTAGGAACTGCAGATGCTGGAGAATCTGAGAAAACAAGGTGTAGAGCTGGATGAATACAGCAGGCCAAGCAGCATCAGAGGAGCAGGAAGGCTAACATTTCGGGCCTAGACCCTTCTTCAGAAATCATTTCTGAAGAAGGGTCTAGGCCAGAAACGTCTGCCTTCCTGCTCTTCTGATGCTGCTTGGCCTGCTGTGTTCATCCAGCTCTACACCTTGTTATGTCTTTCCCAATTAAGTCAGGAATGGGGAAGCTTGATGCTTTCACATCCCGATGCCAATTGAGGCCCCTTAGTCCTTAATTGGCCACTCAAGGGCATCATCACACTACTGCTGCTATTTGACCAGAGGGATGTACTTTTCCCAAATAGGTACCAATGGTTAAAGAGTTACTTGGTTGAATTTTTTGTAACTATAATATTACTCTGAATTTTCATTCACAAATAATTTTACCGTAGTGCTCATAACTTAAGAAGCTTGACACCATCCAGGGCAAGGCAGCCTGCTTGATTGGCACCACATCATTCCCTCCACCACTAATGTTCAGTAGCAGCAGTGTGTACAATCTACAAGATGCACTGCAGAAATTCACCAAAGGTTCTTAGATAGTACCTTCCAAACTCACGACCACTTCCACCTAGAAGGGCAAGAGCAGCAGATTCATGGGAACATCACCATCTGCAAGTTCACCTCCAAACCACTCACCATTCTAACTTGGAAATATATCACCATTCCTTCACTGTCACTGTGTCAAAATCTTAGAATTCCCTCCCTAAGGGCATCGCATTTCAACCTACAGTACATGTATTGCAGCAGTTCACAAAAGCAGCTCATCACCAAATTCTCAAGGGCAACTAGGATAGCCATAAATGCTTGCTACTCATGACGCCCACATCCCACAAGTGAATAAATGATGTTAAACTTGAAAGTTAATCTTGGCTGCATCAAATATCCCGATGATGCAAGGATACCATTAAAATATTACATGTCAAAATCAACAGTTAACCTTTGGTTAGGAGTGTAATTTAAATGACGGACACACCTTCCCAGGTAATAATGCCTGCCCTTAGAACTTCTGGCTATATATCTGTAAGGCTCACATAATCTCTTATTGTGTGGTCATCTGTTCCTAGTGCTATGTCTTTTATCTTACACCACAGTAATCTGGATATTTTCCAAGAAAAACAAATGCTTTCATGCTTTCTGTTGAATCTCTTGACTACTTTAGTACATGAAAATTAAAAACAGGGACTCACAAGAAGTGAGTTACGGAGAATCAACAATAAGTTGAACAGAACCCAATTTGCCAAAGAAAGAAAATAAAGAATATAATCTTTTCATGGGTGATGACTTCAAAATAGTAGCTATTTCTCTTCATTTCAACATAAAGAACAGAAAATGTCCTTCAGTAATGTTGTGACAAGGTATATATTTGCAAGTTCATAAGCAAATTAGAAAGTAGTGAATTCAGTAATTATTTTATAAGCTTCATATCTGAAATGCCATGTTTTGCCCTGTTAGTGATTTTTGGCTAGATATGTAAACTCTGACACAGTTAAAGCTGATTCAAGAAATAACATAATCTACATGACAATTAATCATATAAATACATGACCAGACATTTCTTCAAATTGGTGTGACCATATTAACTCTCAGTGACATCATTGAAGTTAACTATTTGCTCATTTATTTGTTTGGTAGAATAGAACTCGAATATTGCTAAAGGAAAAAACGCATGCTGCTAAAACCCTACCGCACTTATGAGAACAGAAACAAGAAAATCAAATTTCAAAGGGAGCAACTATGTAAACTATGAGAAATAGGGTGCAGGTTCGTTGGCAAGTAAACTCTGATTGGTTCCATATTGCCATAAGGAATGTTTTCAGAACAATTTGATTTGATTCCTGCCATCAATTTTTTAGCAGCTGCTGTTCCCAAGACCACAAGAAACTATAGAAAGTCGTGAACACAACCCAGTCCATCATGCAAACCAGCCTTCCATCCATTGACTCCATCTATCCCCCCCCCACCCGCCTCGGGAAAGCATCCAATATAATCAAATGTCCCTCCCACCGCGGTTATACTCTTTTCCACCCTCTTCCATGAGACAGAAGATATAAAGGTTTGAATACACATATGAATAGATTCAAGAACAGCTTCTTCACTGCTGTAATCAGACTTTTGAACGGACCTTTCAAACATTAATTCTGATCTTTCTCTCTGCACCTTCTCTGCAGCTGTAACACTGTATTCTGCACTCTGTTCTGCTAACCTGATGCACTTCGTTTGGTACAATTTGCCTGAACACCTTGCAAAACAAC